TCTCTTTGTTCACCAACGCTCTATTTACAAGCAATTCAGTTTGCAAGCAAAATTTTTTAGCAAAGTTTTGCTTCCAGGTTTGTGAACTCTGGTGACAGGTGAGGAACGTGACTGTGGCCATCTTCCCTGCATGAACATGAAGGAGGCCATCACACCCAGAATCATGGAACAAATTAAGTTGATGAACTGAAGTACCACTGTATGTATGTATGTATTATTTATTTATTTATTTATTTTGGTACCGGGGATTGAACTCGAGACCTTGTGCTTGTGTGGCAGGCACCAGAACCACTAAGCTAAACACCTGGCCCAGTATTTATATTTCTTGAGTCAATAAGTTGGTGTTTTTTTCCTACAGCATCTATAGAACACTATTTGTTATACTATCTAGCCATGTGATTTTTGTAAGGGCCAAATTTTTAGGTAATTCGGTGGACTGTATAGAAAAGTACCTTGGAATATTTTAAGATTTTAATGATGTAATAATTATGATAGTGCAGTAAGTTTAAAATACTTATCTTGTAGCCTTCAAGGCAGGTGGAAGAATCAAATATGTGCTTATGTTCCACCTATTTAGAGCTTTAAGGTAGATTCCATTGAGCTTTCCATCGGAAATATTGCTGAGCAACTGCACTTAGAACTCACCCAGTCTTTAATAGTCATCCTATGCTCAGAGAGTTATCCATTCTCTTGATGAGAATTCAGTTCAAATATTTGAAGTAAAGAAAATCAGTGATAGAAGATTTTCATAGAAAGTTTACTTTGGTAAGATAGTCAAGAGAATGATTTTTTAACCTCTCCATATCATTCTTATCTGGATATGGTACATGGAACTTCTTTAGCTATGAGCCAAAGGATGAAGCCAGTATGGTTCTTGGCAGAACAGAGATAGGAAAAACCTGAGAACTCAATATTTTTGCTTAGCAACAGAGTCAACCAATTCCAAGTAATGTCATTTAGTAAATATCTTTGGTATTTGAGCCAGTTTGCAGCTAAAAGCATCTTTACTGGAATTACTGCCAAAGCCAGCTGACTTTTGTGATTATCCACAGAGCAACTTTCTACAGATTCCTTCTGACTACAAATTGGCTATCCATCAGCCATCTCTGGCATCACATTTAGCCAGTGTTTACTGGTTTTGCTGTGCAGGTGGAGGAAAAGCAATCCACAATTTTGAGAAACCCCTGGACAGGGCCCTCAGTGTCTTCCTGCAGATTCAATTGTGTTTACAAGACATTTTTATGAGTAGATTGGTAGATTTTAAAATGCTTAGTCAACTAAGAAGCTCTTCCAAGGTAAATTGTAAAAGGGATGGACACTTACATAACAATAGCATGTTTATAGTGGCAATTCAAAGAACATTTTAGTGTGATGGGAAATATGACCTCTCTTTTTATATGTCATTTAGATTTGCAATTGCAATACCATGCAGTTTTAGACAAAATTCTGTTACTATCTTTTTAATGTTTAATCCAAAATCAGTTCTACTTTTTAGATTCATACTTTATAATTAACAGCCATAGAAATGCTAGCCACTGAGGACAGTTGAACAGTCATATCCAAAAGGGGGGGGGGTATCTATTAAAAAAGAATGTGTATGATAAGAAAAAGAATTTAGACTTCACAAAAAGATATGAATACAGAGGTAGTGAAATAGGAAGAGGTAAAAGTTTGATGTCCTGCCACCTCTGAACTATGAGATTTGGGACAATTCATCCACAACTTCTGGGTGTTAATTTCCTTATATAGTGAGATGAGTGATATTCTGATCAAATACACTTTACATTTTAAAGGGCATAGGGCACATATACAAATTGACACCTCTGGGACCAAACCCCAAGCAGACTAGACAAGCATAGTTCTCCACAAATGTGAGATTGCTCCCTATGGTTTTCATAGTTCATGGTCAAGCTGTAAAGCCTAAGTTGAACTCAGAGTGCTCAAGAATAAAGATTGGCTTCATGGTATATTAGATGACATATTTCAGTTAGTCAAATTGCTTCACCTCTGTTTTCCTATCTGTAAAATAAAATATTAATAATAATAATCATATCATAATGATGATAATAATGGGACACTTTTTGTATTCAATACATGAGTGACAGTATATGTGGCCCCTGTCTACTGTGCCTGCCTTATTTTACTTAGCATAATGGTCTCCACTTCCATCTATGTTATCATGAATAATAAGATTTAATCCTTTTTTGTGACTAAATAGTATTCCATCATCCATTTTCTTCATCCATTCAGATTCAATGGACACTCAGGTTGTTTTCATTTCTCGGCTATTGTGAATAGTGTTGCAATGGACACAGGAGTGCGGATGTCTCTCTGAAGCACAGATTTCCTTTCCTGTAAATATGTATCCAGTAGTGGGACTGGTGAATAGGTAGTCCCATTTTTAATTTTTGAAGGAACTCCCTGTTGTTTACCAAAATGGCTATCCTAATTACATTCCCACGATCTAACAAAGTTGACGGCATAGAAGTTGAGAATAGAATAGTAATGACTAGAGGTTGGGGGGTGTACAGGGAGGAAGAGATAGGGTGAGGCTGATCAGTGGGTGCTAAATTATGTTAGATGGGACTGAGAAGTTCTCATGTGCTTTTGTACCCTGGGATGACAAAAGATAATGATAATGCATTACATATTTCAAACGCTGGAGAAGATTCTGCATACTTTCACCAGAGATAAATGATAAATGTTTAAAGAGATAGATACATTTAAGCTGACTGAAATATTATGCGATGTATACCTATATCAACATATCACATCGTACCTCATAAATTGTACAATTTTGTGTATTTATTTATAAGCTAACAAGTACATTTAAAGAAAACAATGAAACCTACTTCACAGAATTCTTGTGATGATATAAAAAGATAATTCACATGTAGTTCTTGGTTTATGATCTGGCATACATGATTAACTTGTCATAAATGTCAACCACTATTATTACCCACTTAGGTAACATACGAGTGATTGCATTTTAATATGAGAATAAAATGCTCTTGTATGTGTGCTTAAGAGATAAAATGTTATGATAAGAAACCAGAACTATGGAATATTAACAGCACAAAGCCTATATTTATAAACTGGTGGATGCTTTAGACATGAGAGGCCAATGTGCTATTTTACACTAAATATTGTGTAGCTTTAGGGTGTAATGGTATGAAATCCAAACACTGATTTAAAATCTACTGTTTAAAGGAATCCATAGATAGAGATTATTGTCAAAAAGACAATAATGGGAATAAAAATTGTAGTTTCAAGCTATATTAAGGTAGAGACATTCCTCCAAAGGAAGTGTGTCCCAGCTTATTATGACTTGCTTCCTCTGATGTCTTCAGTTTCTATCTCCATTAGCAGCTTCTCCTGTAATTTCCCCTAAGGCTTCCAGGAGTAGATTTCCAGACTGCTCTATATTGCCACAGTCTATCTAATTCCACTCTCCTCAAAGCTCTGTTTCAGTGTGAAAATCAGCAGCATTTTGATACCTCAAATCAGAAGCATGTTTTAAGTTTTTAGAACAAATATCAGCATCGTAAATATCTTATGGTCCTGGCACCTGGCATGTATAGGGGATGTAGCAGGGCTCTTTCTCCTAGGCAGAGTGGCCTGGTTCTGCTCAGAACTTGTGTCGAGTGAGAAAGAGGCAACCTGATACAACACAGGAGTGCTGCAGAGAAGGAGGGCCCCTGTTCTAGGGACACTGAGAAGGAGCCAGGAGCTCCTTCTGGATGGTGAGGAGGAAGTCATGGGAATGCTACAGCAAGGGACATCTGCCTGAAGCCAGTGACACACCAAGTGACACAAAGGAGAAACTTCAAAGGACACATGGAGAAGGAGATGGCACTTTTATCTCCTTCGCTGCCTGCATTCCCTCTTCCTTTCCCATATCCTTTAGCTGGGCAGACCCTAAATTAAATAATAGAGGTCAACTTCCCAACTGTTTCTGCCATGAGAACATTAGAAAGGCCTTTCCTAATTAGAAGTTCAGGGTCAGTTCATGAATTTCTCTGAATGGAATTTCTGAGGCTATTTCCTAGGAGATTTCTTTGAACTAAATCTCGTAAAATCAAATGCCTTACAGTGGGGATTTTGCTACCCATGCTAGTGCTGTAGCATTCATTCTGGAGACACATACTCTGCCCAGGGCCTTCAAGCAAGTTGCTTAGCCTGTCTGTCTTAGCCCCTCATCAGTAAGGTACAGAAAAGAGTGGGCGAGGATTAAAGATATGATACACTTAAAGAACCTGGCACGCAATGACTGCTCTGTAGTCTTTTATCATCACTCACATGATTTCTTGTGATTGAATTTATTGAGGAGAAAGAACAGGGGAAAAGGAGTGAGTTTATGTCATAATGTTGCCTAAGGCCACCCTGGGTAGATCACTTATATTTATGAAAAATGAAGATAATGAAGATAACAATTATGACAGTTATTTAAAAATTCTTTCTGCTCTACTACATAAGTAATCAAATGGGAACTGTTTTGTCACATAATATCTCACCATGAGTCTGGTGACAAGGCTCCAAGCATCTCTCTATCAAACGAACACTGACGTATAATAAATCTGCTAAGTCACAAGGTAAGGGGCTTGGCACTGTAATTCTTGCATTTTCAGAATCAGTTATCTTTATAACTCTTGAGCTATTATATAAAACAGTTCAGAGAGAAATACACTTATGAATGCAATAAAAACATTCTAAATTGGGCCCAGGATTTAGCTCAGTGGTTCTGGCGCCTGCCTCGAAAGTGCAAGGTTCCGAGTTCAATCTGTGGTACCAAAAAAAAAAATTCTAAATAAAAAGTTTTTCTTTTTTGCTCATGATGGTCTTGATAATTATGTAAATATACATGTATATTAGATAAGTGCTACTCGAAGGATGCTGGGAACTGGGCAACTTAGTGTCATCTGCAGGAGCTGCCTTTGTACCTATCTGTTAAGTTAGCTTCTCCTTGGAATGCTGGTCATACAATGGAACAAAGAGAGAAAGTGACATCACTCCACAAGCCCCTCTCTGAAGTAGCCAAGAGTCTGAGCTGCTGCTGAGCTAAGTGATGCTGTGGACCGTAGGCTCCTCTGTGGGATTCTGTGCTGTTGGACCCATGTGCTCTTCCTGTGTAGCCTTGCTCACTAGTAAGTTGCAGTTAACCCTATGCTTCCCTGTTAATGCCCTTCATGAGCCTTAATAAACCTGACCTCTCACAAAAGCCATCTCCAGACATTTTCTTTGGTCTTTTGGAAACTAAGCCAGCCTGCCTGGGCTTGGATGAGACAGTTAAACTTCATATTTAAAATTTAAAAATCCACTCAGCAGAAACCTGGAAATATTATGTTTAAATGAATTCAATATAAACATTTGCCTGACAATGAATACAATGACTATATCACTTTGTTATTTGGTTATTTCAGCAGGAATCAGAAGTCACTGAGTACCCCTCAGCAGTCTGCGACGGTATTGGTCATCACATCTATCAAGCCACTGATCTTGTTACCCAGAAAAGAGTAAACATTCAATAACTAAGTTTGAAATATATTAAAATAAGTATCCAATGAGTTTTGAGTAATTCTACTACTAAGCGTTTTGCAGGGTTATTACATGTTGGTAGTCTCGAGCAATAAGTATTTTAGCATCATGGAGCCCAGAGAATGAGTTCAAGTTGTACCCAATTTGCACTCGAATCTATCAATGATGGAAAAATGTGACTATGGGAAAAGAATATCTCTAACAGAAAAGATCACACAGAGACTAGAACTGGGTAACAATCACTTTACAAGCAGAATTTCCTAATAAGTTAGAGAAGAAAGATTTGAAGGATTTACATCCTCAATCCAGATAGCTGTCCATTTCCCCACTATGGGATTGATAATTTAATGAAATGGTCCTTTTCATCAGTGATGATTTCTGAGTATTAGAAAGTTTTTCTTTGCAAAATCCCTCCTGGTATTCTTCTGTGCTACTCCTCCTTTCAAGGACAATTCAGGCTGGCAAGTGTTTCTTCACGTGGAAGGCAACCATTCAATATTTGAAGACAGCTGTAATGTTCCTCTCCTGTCTGTCACTTCTCCTGGACCTTCCACCAGATTATATGTTTTCCTAAATCCTCTGCCATCCTGGAAAATGAATTTTAACTTTTTTGCCTGCTTTCCAAAATATATATTGTCATGCCCAGACAAGCTGGAACACTGAACCCAGCATAATGTGCTCCTGAGCATGTTATCCAAACATGTGAATGATGGTATCTTTTCCCCTGACACGTATTTATATAATGTAAAGACAACTCTATTGTCTTTATCTTCCTTTAGTCTGTCTTCCAAAATGGGTGTTTTGCAAGTAAAGATTATGAACACATTAACCTATTTTTTTGTTACACCTGTTTGAATGCAACTAGGTGAACTGAATTTATTTTTGTGGAAATTAGTTGTTTATATGCATCTTAGATTCTTAATATACAGATAGCGTTTTACATGCATTCCTGATCTTCCACATACTTATTCAAACTCCAGAGTGGAAGACTTGGATTGAACTCATATCTTTCTGAAAAGAATTTCAATAAGAAGCTAAGAAGAGAGGAATTGCTAAGAAAGTTTCCACTGGTCAGTCTTAGAGGTAGATGACAAGGATCGTTTTGAATTGTAAGCCTACTTGAATGGAGTCAAAAGAAGGTGCAATGAAGAGTCCCAAAATGCATTAACAATAAATCTAAGACCCTTGTCTAAGATTTTAAGTTCTCCATAGCCTAAAGAATAAAGTATTTCTCGGATTATTATTAATAATAAAAAGTGGTCTGTCAACCTCTTCTTATTTTAATTCTCTGCATATTTCAAACTTCTTGTGATTATCTAATATTAGGTTTTTATTTGGCAGCATTAATATCCTTCTTTTTTGAAGAAAATAGAGTGGGAAAACCACTGAAAATTTTTTTGACCCACCAATCAACAAACTTCCTCAAGTTCTTCTCCATGAGTTATGTCAGTGGGTGCTGTTATGCTATAGGTGTAGCAATTTTATTTTGAATGTATCTGAATTTAGAAATCATCACTCCTTCCTTTGTATAGTGGGGAAACAGCCATAAATCTGTGAAAACCATGAATATATGTTGCTTTCTTTGTGTCTGTTCCTCCTTGCCAGGATATTATTCTCATCACAGAGGTCTGGAATGCCTTAATGCTTTGTAATGCTCTCTTTGGTGCATCTGTCACACCTTCGAGTGTTTAGCAAAAGGAGTTAGAATGCAGGCACAAAGTGAGTTAAACTGGAAAAAAAAATAATACTAGTGGTAAAATCTGCCAAAGAGAAATAGACCATCTTTCAAACTCATATGAAGTGTTAAGGCTGCAAACTGCTTTCCACAGATTTCTAGTACTGTATTGACTGGTGTTAAACCTGAAGGAGACTAAGGTCATACACCAGCTCTAACAAAGGTTTTCCTGCCCATTTAGTGGAAATAAAGAAATATGGCAGTTACATTTTTTACGTTTTTGCACATAAAATGCAAATAAAATCTCAGTAGTGGAAGCTTAAATAACCTTTGAGATGGGGTATTAGAAAACAGCCTTTTCCCTTAGGCCAGATGCTAAAATAGAAATATCAAATTGGTGGTCAGTTGCTCAAACTTGACCTGTATATATCTTTTTGTTGGGCTTGCGGTGATATTTAAAGAATCATAACTTCAGTACTAGCAATCATTAAACATGATGCTTCACATGTAAATAGCAGATTTCTCTCAGAAATGAGCTTATCTGGCAACACAGAATTCTCATTCTCTGTGCAACTGTTTCCTGGAGCAGCAGAGGAGCTATATACTTTCATGTGGATGGAGCATTTAGTTGGTCATCCGATACGCCTTCAGTGTTTTTCTTACTCCCCTTTCCCTAAGGTTGTGGTAAAAGAGAAAAGTCTATAGCAAAGTCACTTATAGACTACAGTGTCTATACCTACAAAGGGGAAATTTTTGGTTCATTTTTAGGGGTACCAATTTTGCGACACACCTTTTAGCCATGGCTTTTATTTAGGGCTACAGATAACCTACACTTCTAATCTAGACCAATACAGGTGGTTCATCTCACTGTGACTGTTGCCAGTGTGACTGCTTTTTTGCCAGGAGGATAGAGCCATGCCAGAGCATCTCCTTCTAGAAGCACAGGCGTCCAAAGATTTTGTCAAGTCAGGAGAACCCAAGTGTGGCTGAAAAGCTGTAGCCCTGGGACAAAATTATGAGAACTATGAATGAGCAGAAGCAGCAGGCAATCAGGCAGGAGAGGGTGTAACAGGGGCATGGTAGCAACTGCGATGACCAAGATGGATGAGGATGAAGGTGGGGTGAAACTGTTCAGGAATTCATTTCCAAAAATACCATAGACTTGTGGCAATTTAACTCTCGCCTGCATTGGGTTCCAGATACCCATCTGTCTGCTGAGGGACTCTGCCAACTGAGCAGCTGCATTAGCAGACTGAAAACGGACCAGTCTCTTGGGCAGGTGAGAGGAAAGGTAAGCAGGATAGGAAACAAGCCTTCTGTCTCTTAATGTTCACACTTGCACTTTCAATCCAATATTACATCAATGCCAAAAAAATCAACATTTTTGAAGCTAATTATAAGTTTTCTGAAATGGTAAAAGTAAATCCAAATTACCTGATTTTTCATAAGTACATGGAAACAATTATTTCTTTTATTCTAGGAATGATTTTATTTCTGAGATTTATAAACCTAAGAACTACCTTTGGATATTTCCAGCTAAATAAAATTATTTTGCCCATATGATTGAGTTGTGGCAAAGAAAACAAAATTTTAAAAATAATAATTCTTGCTGATAATATCAATAATGCAAATAATCATATAGGTTCATAGTGTTACTCTCATAACAAAGCTGCATAGTAAATGTATAATTCATCTTTTATGAAGTGAAAGGTAAGAGCTTACAGAGCTAAGGAGTGACAAAGCTTGGATTGTAATCAAAGATGGTCAGATCCCCTCTCACCATAGTCATAGAGGAGAGAGGTGGGTGTGGTACATTGATCTAGCCCATGTTTGGTAATATTATCAGTATATTGCAAAACACTTGATGGTTTTATAGAGCAAGAGGTGCTGGCAAAAGACATTCCATGACTCAGTGATTTGTTTACCATGTGTTAAATACCAAGTACAAATTTTCTCCTCATAAAACATTTTAATGAGTAATCAATTGTGAAATTATAATTATCTTAGAATAAAAATCTGTAAATGATAAGATTTTTTCCTTTATGCAAATATCTTATTATATATTTCTTTTCTTGCTCAAGAAGATCTGCCTATGACTTCCAGTAAAATTGTGGATAAAACTTGATGACAGTAAGCACTTTTATTTTATTTCTGATTTTTATTCTCATCATTTATAAGAGATTTATCTTCTTTGTTGTGTTTATTACTGTTTGTTCCTTTTTATTGCTGAATAATATTCCATGTTAGGGATGTTTAAGCCTTTCTTCACTAGTGGCCAGATGTTGGCTATTATATATTTTTGTACAAACATGTCTTTATTTCCTGAGTAATTTCAGGAATTCAATTTCTAATTCATATGTTAATTTTTTGTTAGCCTATATTTAGAAATGGTCAAACTGTTTTCCTAATAGCTATAATATTTCACATTCTAATGAGCAAAGTTGAAGAGATCCAGTTTCTCTGCCCTCTCACTGGGATTTGGTATTGCCAATAGCTCTGACTTCAGACATTCTGATAGACATGCACTGGTATCTCATTATGGCTTTAGTTAATATTTCCTTAAGTCTTGTGATCTTGACATCATTTCCTGTGTTATTTGTTAATCCTGTCTGTTTTGGTGAAATGTCTTTTTAAGTCTAAGTGGATTGTTTTCATTGTTGATTTTTTTATTATTCTTTTTTGTATTGTAGACACTAGTCCTTCATTAGATATGTGGTTTGTAAACATTTTTTCCCACTCTGTACTTGTAGGTTCATTCTCCTAATATGATCTTTCACAAAGAAAAACATTCAATTTTGATGAGGTTCGTGTCTCAGTCACTTTCTCATCACTGAGACAAAGTTGAGCCCCACAACTTAAAGGAGGAGAAGTGTATTTTGGTTCAGTTCTTTAGTCAATAGTTGGCCAGCTCCAAGGCACGAGGGCACTGATCAGTCTCCAGTGACACATCTTCCAATCAGACCTCAGCTGCTAACAGCAAATTTTCTCTAAGCCAAGCACGTGAGACTTTGGGGGCTGTTTTAGATCTGCATAGCAGTCCATTTTTACCAATTTTTTTCTTCTTTGGGATTGTCCTTTTGGGGTAATCTGAGAACTCTGTGTAGTCTTAGATCTTGAAAGTTTTCTCCTCCTTTTCTCTAGAAGTTGTACATTTAATTTTTAATGTATGATTCATTTTGAGCTAATTTTTGTACAAGATGTGAGATTTTAATCAAGTGTAATTAACTATAGTAATTGGTACCTGTAGACTTACCATAACTTTGATATTTAGTTTCTTTTCTGTTTTCACTTTTGTTTTCAGTACTAGGATTTGAATGCAGGCCTTTATTGTGAGGGACAGCCAGTCTTTCTTTTCAATGTTTAAATTTGTGATGGGGTCTCACTAAAGTGGTAATCTGGCCAGGGTGGGCTCCAACTGGCAATCCTCCTGCCTCAGCCTCCCAGAATGCTGGGGTTACAAACATGTGCCATCATGCTCAGCTTGGTGTGTATTTGTGTTAGAATTTTATTCTTATTTATATTAAAATATATTTTTGTTTTGTTTATAGATTTTCCTTTACTTTTTTATGAATTCAGATTGATTCTTATATATTTACCTTGTCTCCGCCTACCTTGTACATTTTTCATTAATCTTAATTTTAACATTGTTGGTGGATTTCTCAGAATTTTCTACATACAAAATCATATCATCTTCCAGTAAATAACATCTTCCTTCATATTTTCCAACCTAGATGTCTTTTATTCCTTTTTCTTCTCTAATTGAACAGACCAAGTTTTCCAGCACAATGACACACATAAAAGGTGAAAGTGTATACATTGGGCTTTTTTCTGAGTTTGTGGGGAAAATATTCAGACTTTCACCATTGTGGGTGATACTGACTATTGGCATTTTGGAAGAACCTTGTATCAAGTTAAGCAAGTTTTGTTCTATTTAAACTTTGATCAGAGTGGTTTTATGTGTTTTGTTGGGGTTATTTTTAAAACTATGAAGTCGTGTTTTATTTCGTCACATGCTTTGTCTGTGTTGATTGAAATCATTAAGGCATCTTTGTTTGCTCTATAAATATACCATATTTTAAAATTGATCTTTCAATGTCGAAACATCTTACATTCCTAAGATGTGATCTAAATGGTTTTATTAATCCTTTTTATGTTATTGGATTTGGTTTACTAATACTCCATGAAGGATTTTTCTGCCCAATTTACTAGGATTGTCATTTTCTGTAATTGTGATATTTGTCTGGTTTAGGGATAATGGTGATTCTACCCTCATTGATGAACCATACATGTTCCTATCTTTTCACAGAGAGTTTATGGACTGTTGTATGATTTATTCTTTAAATATTGGAGGACTGTCTCAGCAAAGCTAAATACAACTGAACTTCTCTTGGTAGAAAGAATTTTACTTACTAATTCAATTTATTCCCTTCTTTTCCAGCATTTTAGAACATTTCATTATATTTTTAACTTGTATTTTCTAGTTTTCTTTTTCCCCCACTATTTTGATTAGTGCATAATGGTTATACAGATTAATGGGTTTCATTGTGGCAAATTTCTACATGCATATAACATTGTTCTTCCCCCTGCTGAAAATCTACTCATATTTGTCTCACATGTCACGTTGATAAAATAGTTGTTCGGATATTTTGTCCATTTTTAATGTTTCCTATTGCTATATTTTGAGAATTTGTATGCATTCTAGATACAAGTCCTTTATAAGAAATTCAGTGTTGATTTTTTTCTAATTCCTGTCCTTTTTCTTTTTCTTATATCAGTGCTCAGATATTCAACGTGTTAAAGAAAATAGTGAGAAAAAATAGACTTGTGTTTTTCCTGATCCTAGAAGAAAATGATACATTTTATCATCATTGTATATAATATTAATGCAGAATTTTTATAGATGTCTTTTTATCAGATTAAATAAATATTTATTGATATCTGTTCTTTATTCTATATGAAAAGTGTTTTGTAAGGGTGATAGCTAAGAAGGATCTGAGAAAACGTTTTTGTCTTTCTTGCATGACTGATGTTCAAATTCTACCTCAGATTTCAATGACAATTTCACTTCCTAGGAATTTTGTGGTCTTTTCTTATGAATTCTTGATGGGATTCATACAATGGAAGCTTATAAGAGACTTCAGTCTCGGCAATTTCTGTGTTTCTCCAGAATTTTCCTCTGTTCTACTAGACTTGGTGAGTTCATTCAGTTTAACTTTGGCTATTGTCTTGTTGTCTCTACTCCACCCAAGCATGTGCCTGTATTTCTGGTATTCACTCTCATTTCTTTTTACATTTCTGCACAAATGGGTTTTGGTGACTTCCACTCTGTCATAGTTTGGAAAACAAGTCATAAATTTGAAGATAATCTGACTCTTATTATTGTCAGCATGAGAGCAACACTTTTTCTAGCTCCTACATTTGTGAACAGGAGTCAGCTGTATCTAAATATTTATTGCCTAGCATTTTGAGCTGCTTTCATAACTGCACCATTGGTTCAGTTGCTCAGGCCAATATACTATAAAAATGATGGTCTGGTGGCCCTATTTATTTGTATATAATGACTAATTATGGTGTTATGGCAAGCAAACTTCTCCTTTTGCTTGATCACCTCAGCCCAAATTTAGCTCAAACTTAGCTCTCAAATATCATTATGAGATTCCAATATAGAAATGATTGGTAAACGAGAATTAAGAGAGGAAAAGTCATTCAAAGAGGAAAAAAATCTTCTCCCTGGTGTATGGAAATTATTACATCTGAAAGTAAATCACAGTCACTTCTAATCCAATGATGTCTTCTGAAGGTAAGATCTCAGAACAGCACCAGAGGTATTCCCGGTAGCTTGTTGGAAATGCAAAGACTTGGGCCCACCCCAGACTCCAATTTCTGAATCAGAACCTTGGGGTGGGATCCAGCAGTCTACATCTAACAAATCCTCCAACTGATTCCAATGCACACAACAGTTTGAGAAACACTGATACTGATCTAAACTATATCCTACAATAAATTATATGTTTAAATACTTAACCAAAAGGCACAGCCCAAGAGGAAAACTTGTTTGTCAAATTAAAAGGACATTCTTTACAGCTCTACATCCAAGAACCTGACCTTGAGGTCAAAGGCTCATGAAACCCACCTCCTGGGAACAACCTAACTTGGGCACATAGAACAAAGTCATTTGGATCTCATGGTGCTCCAACTGCTGAAACTTTACCCCCTTACCTTGAATTTAGAACTTTCTCCTACTCTGACATCTAATGTCTACTTACTCTAGCACAGAGTTTTTCCATGTGAGTTTCTGATTCCTTTCCTGTTCTGACCTGATACATAGCACCATGAACACACCAAATCTTATGTGAACTGAGACTCGTTAAGAAGTTTTTCCATGTGGCCTTTGAATTCTGAAGAACATCAAAAGTACCAAGTAAGTAACCTCAAAAGGTTAGGACTGTAGTTTTACAAAATTTATGAATCATCAAAACTACTTCAAATTAAACCTCATAAGGATCTCAGTCTATAAAAGTGTCATATGCAGAGCTTTTGTTAAAGAAAGTAGCAACCAGGTATCTCAGCTACACACTTTGCAGAGGCAACAAAGATGTACCACGTGTCTTCTTTCTGTTTTCCATGCTCACCCTGGATGTGTCATGTGGAATTTTAGGTGATCATTCAAAACTAGAAGGATCCGCATCCTAGAAAATCAGGACACCTAGACACTAGTACTTCCCAAGCTTAATATTTTCAGACAATCATAGGTGAAAGTTATCAGTCAAATGGTTTAACTTTACACTAGGAAAAGAATTGCAACTTCATTTGGTCAAAATCAGTGAATAGGTTATTTGTGTGGAAGGTGAGATTCATGTTCCCTACATGTGTTCACTTCTTTGAGGACGGGGGTGTTACCTCTTGTTCACTTTGCTGTATGAGAAATACCACAAGCATGTTTTGGTAAGCATACATCAGAATGTTCTTCATACATATAATGTCAAGGACCACATGGAGATGGATTGCTAGTAAATTTCAAGATTAAACTAAATTGAGGTAGGATACCTACAGCTTTTAATTTTTATTTATTTTCTAAAACTCATTTAGAAAAATAATGGCGGTGGAATGAGCCAAAAGGTGAGAGAAAAAAAGAGCAACAATATGGCCATGAAAATATGATAATACTGATGACAATATTGTCCTTTATTTAAATATGTAGTGGAAAATGTATACATAGTCCTCCTTCAACCACTTAGATGACAGCCACTGTTTTCTTTATAAAGCAAAGTGCATTTTATTATTGGGGGTTTTCTTTTACTTCCATCCTGCAAAAGGAACTATATAGAAAAATATGCATTTAAAGGAATATAACCAAGAAACGAATTGCTTTAACAACAGACTGGCTAGCCACTGAAATTTCATTGTACCCACAGGAACTCTAAAATAAATTTCTAATCAATTTATTCTGATTCATAAAAGTATTAATGTCTACTGCCTTCCTTTCCCTTTGTCTTGGGGAGAGTAACCCAGAAATCCTTACTAATTTTCTTGTCTCCAATGATGTAAACAAATATGCATTTACAGTTTTAAAAAATATATCTACCTAAGTAATTACATTCATAGATCACAAATCCTTTTAAATTACTCCCCTGGCTGAAATCACTGGACAATTTTCTCTTAGTATTGCATGAGTGACCATTGCCCAAACACAATGTATTGGATAAACATTCAGGAATCTTTAATTTAGGATAGAATTTATATAATATAAATTATTTATCATCTTACTTTATTCTTACAGACCAACTAACTGGTATGTCTTCTGAATGTTTACATAATAGGTAAAGAATATTCTTATATCATCTCTGCAAGGGTTACGGTACCAGTTTTGTGTTAGTAAGAAAACCAGAGATGAGATACCAAGATAAACCAAAGACTTGTGAAGAAACCAAAAGTAGGAATTATTCAAGCTTCCATTCAGAACTACATCATTTTCAACAATTTAAAAAGAGAAATAAAGTATGAATGCATTTGATAATAACAATGAATTGAACATCCTCATTCTCCTTTTGAAGTTGATGAATTGACTTTCTTTATAATGAGATTTTAAAGTACATCTTTCAACTTCTGCTTTTACACAGAACCTACATCCCATTCCCACATTCGGTTTCTTCTCCCAGATCCTTTCATTTTTCTGAATATTTCTCAGATGCACGCCTATTTGGAGCATATAAGAAGATCACACAACTTTATCTAGCAAACTGAAGACTGAGTTGGCTTAATTAGTCCTGAGACAGGCAATAGAGTATTTCCAGTTGAAGATAAAAACACTGACAGGTAAATGAATGTCTAAGAAAGAAGTCCTTAGCTCAAGTATGATGAGAATTTTGTACATAGAACTCTTATAGAAGTTTATAAAAATTTATAAACTTTTTCTTGTAAAAACCAGATATTGCACATTCAAGGGCATGCATAAACTATTGAACACAATAGACTGCTTTCCATTGTTCGTGGAAGACCTGTAATTGCTAATAATGACATCACTGCTCTGAATAATAGATGATGTTTAGTAATTTCTTGCTCTGTATATGAACAACTGTATAAATCATAAGGGCAATTGAATTAGAAATAAAAATTTTGCATAACAAATCCAGGATACCTATTTTAAGCAATGGGATTTTGACCAAATGTACACAAGAAAACTTTCTGTAACTAACAAAAGATACCTGAGAGAAGACCATTCAGATGGAATATCAAGAGGTGCAGGTTTGCTGGGTTTTGTGGTGGATACTAAAGCAGAGGACAAAGACTTCAAGTCTACAAATACTGGAACATGATCAGTGGCCAGAAATTAGAAGAAGGGCGCGAGAGAACAAGAACTAGTAGTTCTTGGAATCATGTATGTTTTGAATGTTAACTTTTAATAATTCAGCAAGTAACATAATAGTCTTCATTTTACAAATAGGAGCCCAAAGTTAACTTTACAAGGCCTAGAACTGGAATGCAAACTTCACTGGGCCTCATTCCAAAGTCCACGTTTGGCTCTTAGTATTGTGTACTTCTGGACACCACTGTTGGATAATGTCCTCAGCCCATCTGAGTGCAGCTGGGAGCTGGTAAATGTCCAAACCTGCACTCTAGTCACAAGCATCACATCAAAATGCCAGAAAGTCATTTTTCTCGTTGCTGTAGGATGGTTTTGTTTCTTTGTATGAGATGTACTCAAAAGACTATAGAACTGCAGGGGAAAATTGTGGAATGAGATTTTTTTGAGTTGTTAAAAAGTTGGATCAAAGCAGTTCATGCTAATTGCCATCAAATTGCAACTTTCCTAATTGGGTCACATCAATGGGCAATCGAATGGTATAAATTCCACCATGCATATAAAATCAGTTCTGAGTCTCAAAACCAAAACCTTGGAATTTTCCTTGACCAGTCTTCTGTTTCTCACATGCTTTATTCAATGTCTCAGGAAATCCTTCTGGCTCTACCTCCAAAATACATCCAGAATGTGGCCATGGCTCCATTTTCACAGCTGCAAACCTGCCTCCAGACACCATCATCTCTCACCTGACTGACAACAGCCTCCAAATGGACTTGCCTGCTTTGTTCTTGCCCTCTGCTCTTCACTCGGCGTCCAGTTGATCCTTGTAACATTCATTTGCTTCTCAGTTCCAGACCCTTTTTTAGCTTCTAGCTCATTAAGGATAAAAGTCAAAGTCCTTATAATGGCTCCTAAGGCTGGACATGATCTCCATCACCATCCCTTCTTCTCCAACCTCACCAGAGTTACTCTTTGCTGCTGCTTCTTTTCCAGCTGCATTAATCTCTTGACTTCTGGATTCCTGAGCCATAGTCATGCCTCTCCAACTTTGCAAGAGCTGTTTCCTTTGCCTCAATTTTTCTTCTGCTCAATACAACTTGGTTACCTGTCCTGTAGGGCATACCCTCGCCTCCCTATATAACATTACAATATCCCTTACTTAAAAATCCTTTATGTCATGTTCTGTTTTTCTTTCTTCAAAATTTCAGATCTATGTAAGCAAAGTTTTCACATAGTTTTGACTCAACAATACTTATACCTTGGAGATTTTTAGGTGGACTGGAATCAGATCTACCTTGGTGTACTTCCATTCTGCTACCTTTTTGGCTATAGCAGCTAAGGCTCTCCTTTGCAAAGCAGCACTACAGATGGAGTTGTTATCTTTCCACCAGTGGAAGCCAGTGATCCTATTTCTTTTGGAATATACTTACCTACTATTCAACAAATTTATTCTTCTTCTAGAACATTCATGTGAGGAAATGTGATTGCAATAACTTAGAGTATTGACCACAAATACAATAACTCAGCTTTCAAAGAGACTCTCATAATCAGAAAATTTTAACTCAGCAGTTCTTTAGGTGCTAAAATATTGTTTCAAGGGCTTATTCAAAATATTCGCAAATGAGTGTATCATTTTTCTTATAAAGAGGAGAAATATTTTATTTGATCAAATAAATCTGCAAATCATCACTCTAATAAGGGAAAAAGACAAAATATTAAGAGGAAGAGGTTTGGGTAGCTTTGATTCTATTGGACTATATTATCATTATATATGACAATAGATAAGCTTTTATCTAGGAGTGTTTTCTAAATAGACCTCAACATCATACAATAGTTCCACCAATTTTAAGTGTGTGGTTACATGAAACGTTCTTTAAGCATTTGGTTTCCTCCCTCACTAATTTAGATTTAGATTGCCATAGATTTGCAGCTAATAGGGAAGCAACTTATACGCTAAATGTATTTACCCAGCCGGCACACGTCAGATGCTCTTCAGTACGGCACATCATAGAGAGTATTTTGTCATAGCTGTTAAATGAGCCATAAGTGAGACTTCACATGGAGAAGCCAGAGTGACCAAATGGATGCTCATGATGTGATAAGGTCTTTAGTCAAAGTCAGTGGAGCAAGGTACTGGTTGATCTTGGCCTCAGTTCTCATTGTGACTGTTTTCCCATTCAGATCTCCATCACTGGGGCTCAGCTTTCTCTCCTACCCTCCTCTCCTTTGAGATCCATCCAGAATCTCTTCCCTGAAGCAGTTTCTCTGGGACTCCATCTCTTTCAATCTAACTCAGTTCATTTTGAGGGTTCATATTAGCAGCCCTCAATGTGGGTCTCAAAGCAAAGGAAAAAGATTCATTTTAGTAAAGAATGTCTCATCTTGAACATGGCATAGACTGAATTTTGCTTCTTGTTAGAATTCTAAATCTAAATTAAGTTTCTTCTCTAATATTTGGTAGAAATATTTTGTTGTGACTAATCAGTAATCCATAATTTTCCACTGCCATTCTTTTAAAGTTGCAAGCTCCCTGAGCAGTTTTTAACAAGTTCTTTTCCAAATAATACCAATGGTATTTAGTAAATATTATATGTTGTAGACATGATGTTTAAGAAATTCTGGTTTCAACTAAATAATAGATTTATTTTGCATTTTGTTTTCATTTTACAAACATGCCTGATGAATCACAAATGTTGATATAGTATACAGTATAGTAATTTCCAGAATTACTTGAACTGCAGAATATTTTTCAACTGACTTAAAAATCATTTGGAAAAATACTATCTTGGAGATCTCAATAATGCATGTATTCTTTTTAATAAAAATGAAAAGTATCTTTAGTCTTTTCTATAATTTCCTTATTAGATGATACGACAGAAAGTCAGAAATCTGAAAAGAAAAAATCATTTACAATGCCAGAGGGACATGAAAAGTGTGTTCAGATGCCAGTTACACTGCCATTTGTCATCAAATACTAGCAGTTTAGAAAAACCACAGGGCCCAAAACTGCAAATGTTAAACCATTTAAACTGACTGGATCAAGTGAAAAAGTGGACATTGTTTTCTTATCATTTGGTTGTTTTCTTCCTATTTTTAAGTTATTTCTTTAAGAAGAACTTTTTTAGTAATACTTTTAGTACAGTAGAAAAAACTTTGAGCTTAAGATCAGAAAGAAACTTCAAGAATGGACTACAGCTGTTTTCAGCTATGAAATTTGTCCAGCGGACTTTATGTGTCATCCTTCAAAAGAAAAGAATACTAATAGGATTCAATGACATTCTGCAGTCTTTGCTGAGAATTTATAACAGGCTAAACATTATACTAGGTACAAGGGATACAACAGAGTAAAACACCAAAGAGAGCAGCAATCCAGCAGGGGGAAGTAACTTTTAAAAGACAATATAAAATAATGAATGAAAATAAATATATGCACCAAAATTTAAAAATAAGACAGAGGTGAATTCCTTAGGTTTCAAAGCAGGGAAAAATTTACAGGGACACTTGAATTGGCTTTGAAAAATTGGCCTTCTTTAATTAGGATCAGGGTTGGGAAAGATGTTGGAGGGAAAATAAGGCAGAGGGAAGAGCTTTCGCAAAGGCGTGCAACATGGAGGAACATGCTAAGCATGGGGAACCACAGGTTTCTTGTCCTGCAAGAGTAAAGGAAAAGGAAATAAGTCCAGAGAAAGAGACTAGAGGTCATAAAAAAAAATCTCTTTCACAAGCTAAAAACTGTTTCTGTTTTACACAGACCATAGGAAAACCATAGGGTGTGTAGCAGTGTGGAGATCAGAGGATCCACATGCTTTGAACAGAGTTTGCACTCCAGGGCTAAGGAGAAATGACTGTCTGTTACCCTTCCCCATAAGCTGTTGGGAGCATTAGATTCTTCATATAGCATCCTATCATGCAAACATAAAGTATTTGCAGGGTTTTCCCTTTGGGGAAAAGACTTTATGTTTAATACATAAAACACTCTACAATTAAAAACATTCTTTAGTTTGCCATGGAAAGTGGGTCCTTTTTGAGTTTCTGGAATACACTAGAAGCAGGATTGCTAACTGGTCAAGTTCTATGTTGAACAGAGAAAAAAACAATATCTTCCAGAAGTGTCTTAGTCACTTTTACTCTACACTGGCATAAAACAGTGGACATCACAACTTAAAAGAGGAAGGGTTTATTTTGGTGCAGGGTTTCTGAAGTTTCAGTCAATATTGGGGAGGC